GGTCTTGATAGACCCAAAGAGCTCCGATATATGCTCCCGGACAATAGACAAAACCTCCTCATGAATGATCTCCCTAACCCGGTCCTCAGTCAATCTTGGCCCATCCTGGCCACCTGATCCGGATCCTGACTCAAATCGCCTAGTAACCACCATACTGAAAATAAAGCAGAGAGATATTAGATAAAATGCATATCATACCATATGGACCATTCCCAAACAAAACCCAAGGGGTTGTGACTTCCCTCCTACGCGTACGGGTCCTGTGCTTCTAGTAGTACGGGCCCATACTACCTTCCATACTTACCCGTATTTGTCTCAAAAGATCATCACAACAACCCTAACCACACTCACTGAAAATATGTATACATCCTATTCTCACGTCCTAGAGAAAGGCTAGACATCCCTTAACGGGTCGGCTGGCCCCACATAACTCATCCATTAAACTTCCACCAACCCTGCAGCACTCGTGTATGTTAATCATACATAACGCTGGATCCTATAGCCAGTCGAATACTTGATTCTACCCTAAGCCCACAACCAAACAAGGAACAAGAAATAAGGCTAAATCAAACATTCTCCGCCTATAAAATCTTAGTTATGTACAATTTTGATACATACACTAAGCAACTATAGTAATGATGTCAATTTCATATCAGGAAGAACCCTAGGCTATCAGGCATCATATAATCAAGCAATTCATATCATGCAATTCATGAAGATCCATATCCTATCACTAGCATGCTGTTCTAACATATCATAATATCAAATAACACTTGGGGTCTACTTACTAGCTCTGGCTGATCGTACACGTCACATCCTTTTTTTTGATTATTTTTCAAAATAATTTTGGAAATCATTTTTAAAACCTTTGTGAATTCCTTGGTTTGAGACTAGATTCACACAGGTGTTCCTCCAATTCCTAAACCCAAAGATCTGATACCAACTTGTAACGTCTCAAAAATCATAACAGTTTTAAACTTTTCAAAACAACCCATAATCATAAGATGTTTACAAAATCATTGTTTCCAAAGTGTTTATCAATATTACAGTATCCCAAAATCATAAGGCCATAAAACAGGAAGATGTGTACGGTCACGCCTTCGCCTTCCCACGATCATCAGAAGTACCTGAAACAATAAACTAAACCATAAGCCAAAGCTTAGTGAGTTTCCCCCAAAGTACCACCACATAAAACATAACAAACAACAACATGCATAACTGAGCCTTCAGCCTCACTGGACCGCCTCGCAGAGCCTACAACCTATCTGGACTACTCTATGAGCCTTCGTCATGAATGGACCACCTCGCAGGGACTTCAGCCTATTCGAACCGCTCGTCGGGCCTTCAGCCTGACTGAACTGCCTCGCAGGACCGCCTCAACCTAACCAACCATAACATGTCGATATCTACATAACAGATAAACATATAACCATGCAACAGACAAACAGGAAGATCTACAGATCACTACCGAATGCTAACATCCTATATACCAGGATACCGATCTAACAGATCTCTACAACATAATAACATACTGTCATATAACAGGATATCCAATCCAATGGGTCGGCCTTGGTGCCTTCGACCCGTAAGTATAGTGAGGAAGACTCACCTCACAGTCTGACAGAAAGCTAAATGATAAACTGCTCTAAATACCGACTCTACAGGTCACCTATTCAACTGATAGAGACAAAGAGTCAACTATTGCTCAAATACCCAAAATATCTGCTCAAGAATCACCATTTTTAGGACAAAAAGTGTCTTAAAGGAAGAAATGTATAGATCTACAAGATGGAGTGATTAAGTTGCAAACTTTATACCTCCTGGAGGTTGCTAACAAGAAGGAAATCACAGATCCAAGATGCTTCCAAGCTCCAAGCTCTTCTCACCACCTTCTTCTTCTTCAAGAACACCTCCAAAACACTCCAAAGGGCTCAAAATGCACTCTTCTCACTTAGGGTTTGGTCGGGGTCATTTTTCATAGAGGGAGGCTGATGAAGAAATGAGACATGAAGCTATAATGGGGTTTAAATAAACCTCAAAAATTAGGGTTTGCACATTACTCACGTACGCCCCCGCGTATGAGGTTTATGCCCATCGTACACAACGTACGCTCAGTGTAATACACTTGGAATAAATTAACATATTGCCACTGTGGGACATTTTGCAATCCTTTTCAATCCGAAGGGCCAAAATGCAATATTATTCAAACATAGGGTTGAAATTGAAATTACCTTGACATCGGGATGTTACATTAAGAGCAGCCATTGAAGTTAAAGTATTAGAGCTGAAGTGGTATATAGAAATTTTTTTATCCTTAACACAGAAATGAATGGGATACCAATGTAATCTCAAATCAACTATAGTCTGTTCTTATGGATTCAAAGGATAACCACTTAGGCTCTGATACCAACTGAAAGTGCAAGAAAATGTGCACGGACAAGGTTTGAAAACTCAAACCTTGAATTAACTTAAGATCAATGTTTGCTGCTAATATTAAAAGTCCAGTCAAGTCTGGTAAACCAGACTTGTCTTGAAGTAAGAAGTTCAACAAGTATTCAAGTATAAGAGAATGAACAATGTAAAGAGATTTAAGAACAATGAGAATGATAAAGAGAATGATTTCACTTGCAAGATACTTGGTGTTGATGTGAAAGAGAATGTTGCTCTAACTGTTACATTGCATGAAATCACATCTCCTTAAATAGCCAAGGAGTGATAAAAAGACAAACTAACAAGACTGCATGGACTAGGTAAAGCTGAAAAGTCAAAAAACTGACACACATGATTTCTCGATCTTGTCCCATGATCTTTACAATAAAATAAAGACTAAAACACAAGAAACATTAAATGCTAATACAAACTCAAAATAACACTGAATACAAGGTGTTTCTCGGATAGAACTTCATTTTAGAAGTAGCTTCATTTTGAAACTCATCACGCTTCAGAATGCACATCACTCCAGAATGGCTTGACTTCGGATTGCTAGAGGTTCACTTTCATGTATCATCAGAAAGCACTCTTTACTGGTTATTTGAAGTCTATATTTGCAGTTGTAGTTGATGACTTGTCCAAGTAGGATACTGTTGGAATAAGTGTCCAATGTCATAACTAAATTGTTCAAAGTCAAAACTAAATTGATATAAATTTATGGAATAAAAGTAAAGTCATTTTTGGGTTGCCCGCATAACCAGAAATATCTGGAAATGACTTTGAGAAAGAGAGAGAGATAAAGTGAATATATTATATGATTAATATATTAATTAGAAAAGGTTAATAATTAATTACAAATAGTTGGAATTAATTACTTATTGATCAGAATTAACATGAAATTAATTCAGGATTAATTAGAATTAATTAAAGGTGCAAGGGTTGAGCTGTAATTGTTCAATAGTTGAACAAAATAAGAATTCTAGAACCATCAATGGCATGGACGGTTTTGGAGGAGTGTCTAGGGTTTCTAGAAGCCTCCTGGTAGCTGATAATAATATGATTTAAATTAGGATTAAATCTAATATTTAGTTGTTCAAATATGGATTATCTTTAAGTTACCTAAATTATAAATAAGACCATTGGGCATCACAAATTTGTGTCTTATCATACCTAGAAGGTGGAGAACAAAATTATATTCCTCCAACCTATCTCCTATTGTCTTTCTAGTGTTCTAGGCTTTTGAGTGTGAACCATTAGAGGCGTTCACATTATTAACGCTTTCTTTCCATGGAGTATTTGAAGTACTCAAGAGTTAGTATATTTGAATATACTAAAAGTTATGTTTCCTATCTATGATTTTCAATTATCATAAGGTTTTTGTTTTGTTTCATAAAGTATGTTGCTATTAATTGTGAAAAACCATAAATCCTTTTAGGTTCCATGTAACCATAAGTGTTATGTGAAATTCCACGAGTACAATGCTATTGTAACCTAAAAACCCCAACACTTATGTTATTGTAGTTGTTATTCACTAAGCCTTATGGCTTACGGTGTTTGTTATTATTTTGTTGCATATTAGATTGTTGTAGCGCCCAACTCAGACCATGTACTTGATGCCGGTACGATTACCGATGATAACTTATTGTGTTCCACTATGCTAGTGTACACCGAAATATTTTATAAAGTTGTTAATAAAAATGAATTTTTATTGAGGTGTACCTAGTGTGAAAACGTGGGTATTACAATTTGGTATGAGAACCGTTGTTTAAATGAATTAGGTATCTTGTAGTAGATCCCTAGTCTTAAACCGGAAGGCAGAATGATATAAATTGACTCATACTTGGTGGACATACGTTAGTCAACTATAAGACATTTTAGGGAACTTGGTGATATATATATATATATATATATATATATATATATATAGAGAGAGAGAGAGAGAGAGATACGTTCATGTATTCTAACTAATTATTGTGTGGATGTAGGATTGATTGTATGGACCAATCAAAATTATAAAAAAAATAATTAATTAAATAAATAAATAAGGGTATCTAAGTAATTTGATAAATAACTTTTAAAAATACTCCCTATAATCATGCTAGTTATTTTGACTTTTAACCTAATCCCCCCCCCCCCCTTTATTTACATCTACTACGCTGATTCCTTGTTCATCATATCCATCACCAGAAAAGCCTTGATGTCATCGTACCACCATCATCCTCTATCGTCGCCCTGCAACTATCATTATCATTTATCGTCCTCCCATCTTCATATGTGGCCCAATATCTGGTTATCCTCATACAACACTAGGGTTTCTTATGTTCTTGACTTCTTTCCCCTTTGTCTTCCTATGTCGATGATAAGAATCACAACCATTCAACTGCAATGTGCGACATGTTTGGGCAATTGATTTTGTTTACTATTCCTTTTTTATTTTTATGGACATTGAGCACATCTGCCTCGTTTTTATAGACGTCGAGTACGGGTGGAATTATCCCAATTCGGAACTGTACAGGAACTACAGGTACCCTATATCCATATTTTAATCTTTTATTTCTCACTTTCATCAAATGAAGTATCTCACTTTATCTTCTATATCAAATGATCGAAGTTCGTATCTTGTTCTTGAAAATTTTGATTTCTTTTTGCAGACCGGAGAAGCTATGAATCCAAAAGCGTACCCACTAGCTGACAATCAGCTTACAATTACGATATTGGATCTTGTTCAACAGGCCGCTAATTATAAGCAGCTTAAAAAGGGTGCCAATGAAGGTATACTCTTTAACCCTTGTAAATCTTAGTTCTTTCGATCGTTATATGCAAGATTGGGTATTGTTTGTTGATTATAATCAGATGGGTCAGTAATTGAAGTTTGTATATAGGTCAAATTTTGCGACTTGTTAGGTCGACATCCAGTGATTTTTGTATATAGTTTTGCACATATATAGCATATAATCCAATCATATGAATATTAAATATTGTGATTTTGGATTTTGTAAAGTATTCCCAAATTTATAAGTCCTAAGAACACCTATATCTTTTGTTTTCTTCAAAAAAGCTCTTCGCAACTAGTCAAACACTCAAAACATTACTTCATTATCTTGATATTCCAGATGGGTATTTTTAGATATTAGTCGTTTGATAATTTACGTTTTTACCCCTTGATTCACAGCTACAAAGACCCTCAACAGGGGTATATCTAAGTTTGTAGTGATGGTATTGATTGTTCAACATGTCATGGCAGTCTCAGATTGTATTCATGGTTAGTGATGGAACTTTTATCGAATGTTTATCGATTGTGCATCTCATCTCCATTGTTCTATTGATCTACTGATTTATGCATTTTTTTACTTGGATATTTTTCCAACAAATGCATACGGTAACTGAATATTGAATTTCAATTCTATCGGAATGGAATCACGAATTCCAATTCTGTTGGAATGGAATCTGGATATTTTCTCAATTATTTATGCATGTTCTACAATTCTTGGTTGTTGGTTTTGGTGCAATTCACAAGTCCGCATATTTTTCCAAAGGAAGTGAGTTTTTTATTTTTCATTTGCTAATGCATTATTGGATACTAAACTACAATTGAATTTGTTTTCACAGAAGTTGTTGCTTGAAGAACGGACCACAAATTGAAAGTGATTCTTAGCAACATTATTCTTTTAGAATGTATTAGTGTCTTTGTTAGATTTTGATGTTTTTTTCCCCGATTTGAAATTTTTTTAGTTTTATTCTTTAACAATAAATGTAATTCTTAGCAATTGTTACCCATATTCTATAAGAATTAATGTAAATTTTTTTTATTCTTCAATTGATGGTTCAAGAATTTGTTATTCTACAAGAAGCTTTTAAAGTCAAGATCAAGAAATAGGTTTAAGAATATTTTTATTATTTTATGGTTCAAGAAATAGGTTCAAGAATATTTTTATTATATATATATATATATATATATATATATATATATATATATATATATATATATAATAAATTGACTCATACTTGGTGGACATAAGTTATTTTTCTGTATCCACTTGAAAGTTGCACCCCTTTTCAATTGTTTCCCTAGAAGCTATTGAGGAACAATCGAGCTCTTATACCAGTTCATATCATTGTTGATACCACTTATACTTCATTAGCAATCGATGTTCATTGATTGACCGATGCTAATAATTCGCCAACAATGATCGATCCTCTCAAATGAAAGGAGAGCGATGTGCGGAGCAGTAAGAAATATCAAAATAAAGATTGAGCGAATAGTAAAAAAGATCAAAATAAAGATGAGCGAGAGAAAATACAATATCATATATGCCTTATTTCTTCCGGTTTATATGTATGTGTGACAAGGATTAGTTAATGTATATTAGGACAAGACAAGATTAACCAAATAAATGCATAAAAAGCTAGTGCGGTGTCACAGACAAAGTTTTTGGAAGTCTCATCGATCATCTATAGAACGTTGGAACAATAAAGAATACCCGAGGAGTCTCTAGATAGATCATGAATACTCTCCGAAACCCTGGAAGACGCTAGAACATTATAGATGTCCTTAGAACAAGATGGAACGATCCGAAATAATCAATACGACACTAGACGAAACTAGAATGACTCGAGAACGATCTAGAACATGCTAGATCATTCAAGAATAACTTGGATAATATCATAACATCCTAAAGATATCTAGAACATCATAGAATAGTGTAGCATAATATGGAGTGGTGTAAAGATAATGTAGATATTGATAGAACACTCTAGAATAGTCGAGAATCTACAGGAGCTAGAAACTTCCCATGAGGAGGTGTAATGTCCCTATAAATAGGAAGTAGGTCTCATTTGTAGAGACCATCGAGAAGTTGTTGTAATCTCTTGAGTTCTTATAATACAAGCACTATTTGTATTCTTGAAGTGTTATTCTCTTGCTTTCTAATTTCGTTAATACATCTAAGATCGTCGATGTAGCCTAACTTAGTCGAAAAAAAACTAAGTAACACATGAGATAAACTAGTCGTAAGAGACATCCCGTGACAACGGTGATTTATTCTATTTATGGGCCATCATGGCACTAGGGCCTAGGCTAGTGATAGGATTGTTTGGGCTTAACTCTCCGGCACAAATCAAAAAAAATTGTGGGTTTTAGCATCTCTCATTCTTGCCTCTAAGTTTCAAGATTGTCGATGATTTTTTATTTTTGGCATACGACTTTTCGGTTTCAAAATTTGTTTTTTTTCGGTAGTTAAGATGTGCCGGTCGATGATGGAAGTAAAAAGTCGATCAATTTTTTGGTTCTGAATCATGGATATGTGTCGGATTTCGTTGAATTTGATTATGAAGTGATTGGATGTGGTATTTGTGACATATCTGATTGTTTCTGTTTATGTATGTATGAAATTGGGAGTTTGGGGTTGGTAAAACCAGTTGTATATGTTTTTGAAAAAACAGGGGTTAAAGATCGAATCTTTTTACGAGTTCTTTGGTCATCCGTTAAAAAAATCTGGTTTTGAAGCTTGTTTTTTTATTTCTCTTCATTTAGTTTTTGGTTTGAAATTGAGAAAATTAGGGTTTAAGGATTTCGAATGTTGTGGTGGGTATAAGTAAAAACCGGAGGTCTTTAATCCTTTGGCCATTTATTTGGGATCTGGGAAGATCGAGTCTGAAATAGTCTCTTCATTTTCCACTGTCGTTATTCTTCATCATGATAATAGTAAATTACAGAAATAGTCTCTTCAGTTATTAGAAAACCATGGATTAGGCCCTGAAATATTCCTTTTACTTTTTTAATCACTACGATTTCAACTTGTTTTTAATCAAGTCTTTTCCATCTCCTCAAGTGATCTATTTATCAGCTATTCAGCCTGCTACTATTCAGCCTGCTACTTCTACTTCTGGTGGAACCCATGACCATATTAAGTGAGATTCTTGCACATTTTATTTTGATTTTTTATTCAAACCCTATCCTTTGGGTTATTGAACTTTTATTCTGTATAACCTTATCATAATTTGACTATATCACATAATTTTTTTTAAATATATATTAATCAAAGCTCAAAAGGATGCTATACACAGGCATCACATTATTTTTTTTAAAATATATATATTAATCAAAAATTCAAAAGGATGCTATACACAGGCAGCTAATCTTTATCAAAATCTTGTTGAGACCTTTATTGGGAGCTTTTTATCCAACATGATCTTTTATTTATTTTAATATTCATTGATCATTCATTTTCATAAGTATTGTAATGTATTAATCCCATTTATAATGAATTTTTTTAAATACATAACCATCAAAAGTTAAAGTAAACTCCAACATTGATAAATTTAAAGTTTATTAATTATATTTGGTAAACATAATCAGAGGTTAAGTTTTAATAAATATAATCCGAAGTAAATTACTATTTTGGCGCATATGAGTTTAGCAGGCTTTTTTTTTTCTTTTGCATTTGTTCATTAAGTACCGTTTGGTGTGTACATATTTTTCATATTTTGGTGTAATAGGATTGGACTTTCCACTTTTTGTTTTTGTTTTTTTTTTTAAGATTTTAATCGATTAGAATTTTATTCGAAAAAATTGGCTAGAAAATATTATTTTTAATATTATATGATTATAAACAGAAAAATAATGAGTTATATCTAACAATGTATAAAATAGATTTTAAGCAATGTTTTAAAAACCATTGTTTTAATTATACTGGTATGGTGACCGGTTCTCGGTTTAACCGTCAGACTTCTAAAATTTTCATGTTTTTTTCTATCTTCCCGCAACACAAATTCAAACATTAAAGTTACACAAAATCAAGTTCAAACATTAAAAAAAAAACATAAAAACAAGTTCTAGATCAATCCGAATACATTAATAAAAACATAAACAAAATTGCAAGAATGGTCATGTATTATGTCAATTCGCAAGTTTGGTCCAAAAATGTTTGGACTCATGTCAGTGGTCTAAAAGTCTAATTTTTATCGCAAGTTTTATCCAAAATTTTTCAAAACTTTTTATAAAGACATATTTGCCCTTGGTATTTTCTCTTTTTCAATTTTTTTATTACATCAATAAAAAAAGAAAAAAAAAGTATCCATCCCACCTCTCTCTCTCTCTCTCTCTCTCTCTCTCTCTCTCTCTCTCTCTCTCCACCAACGAACTTGAATTTATCTTCTCTCATCTCTTTCTCTTTTATGAACCTTAATACTAGCATTACTACCTCCATACTCGAATCATATTCGAATCATACTCTCATCCATCATTACAAAAAAATTTAAAACACTTTGGACCAAAATCGCAACAAAATCAAACTTTTGGATCACTAGCACGAGTCCAAACCTTTTTGGACCAAACTTGCGAGTTGTGACATAACAAATGGACCATTCTTGCAATTTCGTCAAAAACATATAACCATAAGTTTTACATCAATCACTGTGAATAAAAAAGAAAATAAATTATAATACCGAAACAAAATATAGTTTTAGATAAATACATACGTTTTAAAAAGAATCATAACATTACTATGTGTTTTTATTCAATTTAAGAGAAGTCTAAATAGATGTGAAAAGATCACCAAAGTTTTTTATGCAAATGCTTCATTTCCGTGTGTTTCTTTTCAATTTAACTGGTTAAACCGTTTTTTTGTAAAAACCGGCCAGTTCGTTATGATTCAAAAATAGGCATAAAAAAGGTACTAATTGAACCGCTCACTTGACCGGTTTCTGGTTCAAACCGATTTTTAAAACATTAATTTTAACTTGTAATATAGAAACTTGATATGAATTTACATTTTAAGATCTCTCCTGTCTAAAGTACATGTCTTTTTTGATCTGTTTGGTTTGGTCGGTTATTATATTATTATAGAGGGTTTATGGTAAGAATCAATCTTAGGCTCTTAGCGGTGATTGATGGATTATGTAAAGTCATATGTGCTTGATTATTTTACGTGGGGCTTGGATTTATAGATTTATTTTCATTTTTGTTGTAACTATCTTTGTATTTTTTTCCCTGAAAGATTACCAAAGGTGAAGAAGATGCAATCTCTGACTTATTCTAAATAACTGACTATCTTTGAAACCATATCGACCAGTAACTTACTCTAAATAATTTATATTTATTTGGTTTGTTGAGCTGACCTTATGTAGTAGAGCTCACCCATCCAATTCTTCTAGACCTTTTCGAGGACAAACATTTAAACGTGTGCAGGTAACTTGAAGTCGCTATGCTAATACATATAATAATGTCAAGTCAATGCAATGATATATGTATTTTTATATAATAATTT